CTGCCAATTACAGGTAGTCTCTCGTGTAATGCACTGATTTATCATGCAAATAAAATTCCAAGTAGCTAAATCATCCCTTAGTTTGGAATCTTAATCTTTTATGAGTTATCGAAAAAGATAACCAATGCAAAGTTATTTCCTATTCTTGTTTACAGTCTCTACCTGCAGATGACTAGAGTGATTTTACTTGACCTGTGAAACAGATACTAGCAACTAGTGCAAAATAGCCACAAGAAAAGAAAGGAAGACAATGGAATTAGTGTACAATAGTGTGTAGAATTCTACTACTTATTTCACAGGTTAAGGAAAATCACTATATTTGCTTGAGAAGTATGATTTGGGAGCCAAGAAAGATCACTCAAACAAACTGGACATCACAACAGTAGACGTGGTCTAAATAATTTCAGAGGGTATAAGCTAAGCTTTTCGTTAGCGATTTAGTACCTTGAATAAAAAAATAAATTGTTATACACAGTGTCTTAATGGAAGTTTGTAAATTGAGGAATGGCCACATTTGCTGAATTATGCTCAAACTATCTATCCAGTAGTGTGTTATGTGATGGACTCCATAATGGATATAGTTCGCAAACTTTGTGGTAGGCAGTGGCACATTCAGCAGGAGGTGCAGCTATCAAACACTGGTTGATGAGGCTTCATATCAGGAAAAGCCAAATCAGAAATGCCATATAAAGTAAACACATCTACTGTTAGCTGTTTTGTGGTGGTTGTTCATCTTTTGGTTTAAACCCTTCAGTGTTAAGTTTCTTCTTGTATTCATCATAAACCCTTTTCTTGGCAAAGTAGGTCACCTGAAATAAGTAACAGGACAATAATCTGACAATAATCCCCCGCCCCAATGACATTTGTCATGTACAAATATTCCTAGGGTAGTCAAATGAACAAAATCGAATGAACATTTCATATTGAACTCAACAGAACTCAATTCATGGATTGAGTTTGATTTTGTTCAGCAATTGAACATAATTGAACAAAGCAAAAAATGGCTCAATTTAACACAATCAAACATTCATACTCTGAAATCCTGATCGAGAGATGATCACAGTGGGAAAAAAACTCGCAATTTTACCTCCTAATCAGTCGTTTGTTTTCTGTGATTATGACCTTAGGAAAAATATGTTCTTACTACATTGTAATTCATTTTCCATCATGACAGTATGAATGTAATTTCTTCTAAGACAGCCACTGTGCCACATCATTGTTGTCGCTCTTATTTTCTCAAGACTTTTATATAATCATTCATTTGGTCTGTTGCCTCTGTTGTAGTGAGTAATTAACTGCTAACAGTATTTCAAAGCAATACTAGATGTTATTACAGTGTAGCCTGCGTAGCACGGCGGTTTTGGTTGGGCGCACTAAGTAATAAAGGTGGGAGGGCAGAGAAACTGCAAGGAGATGGGCACTTTAAGCGCAAATGTCGCAGCTTGACAAAACTGCCATGCTACGCAGGCTAATTACAGTGAAACCCAGTTAATACAGACACCGAGGGACATGTCATGGTGTCTGTATTATCTGGGTGTCTGTACCAAGTGGGCTGGCAGAGAAAACTATGCAGAATGATTTATTGATGTTAAGGCTAAAACTACGGTGGCCAAAAAGTGTTATAGCAATATCAATTTTACTCACAGCAATTTCAATTTACTCACAGCAATAATTATTTCAATTCTACTCACAGCAATTTCAATTTGTTCACGACAATTTCAATTTACTCTTCTGGCTCATCTGTCAAGCAAAGGGGAAACTTGAAGAAGTTTTTAAGGCATGTTTTCTAGATTTTATTAATGCATTTCTTTCTTGCGTATCAAGCCAGAATTACATAGCGAAATCAGGAACTATTGACGTGAATCGACATGTTTCTTTTTGGCTATTGAATGAAAAATTTGTTGATAGAGGATTTTAAGGAAATTTAGCATTGATGATTCTAATACTACTGTGATCTCTCTATTATTTGAAGAACTTCCTTTCACAGATCTTACTAAAATTTCCAGAACAGGTATGTTTACAGCACAAGACAGAGTTATAATGAAATCTGAAGATTCATGAAGTGGTGTTGCCACAAAATAGCGCTAAATTACTAAGGCAGCCATGAACTGAAACAAAAAATTGTTCATTAAAATGCTTAAAGTGGCACTATTCGACTTTGCAATCAATGAAAACTGCTGTAGTTTTGATTGAGGACAGGGCATTTGCCCTCTTTTTTCATCCCCACCACGGGGCATTTGGCAGCCTGTGTTCAGTCTCCAGGAATTTGCCATACAAGGAAAAAAAAGAGTAAAGCCCGGGGGTTGTTAGCCTGGGGGTTTGACATGGGTGCAGCTGGATTTCACTGATCCTGGTGTGTTCAATTATTGATAAAAACCAATCGATAAAAATTGATACTCACATGCTACCAAGTGCTGAGTTTCTTGATTTTATTGTTTTTATCAGATTTATCAATCGTTGATCGTTAGAGATGATGATGATGATAAACTTTATTTCAGTGTCAAGTCTTCTAGCTGGCCATGTAAGGCCTACTAATCATAACTATAACAAAATTGTCAAATCTGATTGGCTCTCAACTGCCCTGATTTCAGCCTTAATTGGACAGTTTAATAGGACAGTACGCGTCATGCCTAAGTAATTGGACAGTACGCATCATCATGCGCGCGCTTAAATGGCTTTTTTTTTCACTGCTAGCAAAACAGGATTTCGAATTTCTTGTGTTTTGGTTTGAAAAATAGCCTATTGTATCACAAATTTTGTTAAAGTTATGATTAATTGGTAACAGAACTTCGTGTCGTCCAATTCAGTCTGTAATCATACTCGTGATTAAACAAATCGGACTCCCGCTACGCGGTCGTCCGATTTTGTTAATCACTCGTATGATTACAGACCGAATTGGACTCCACTCAGTCCTGTTACCATTACTAATAGGGGACACTAAATTAAAATACTATCAGCTCTAACTAATTAACATTATAATATCATAGGTGACAAATAACTCCTTAATTCTGGAGCGAAATTTCAGCGTTAATTTGTAATTTCACATGTGAAATTACAAAATTGCCATGGCAACCCTTCCGTACGACTCAGTGTCAAGATGGCGATGAAGTTTTTAAAACACCGTGAATGAAGATGTCAGGGCACAAAAAGACGCTTTAGAAAACCTGAACACACAAGAGAACATCAAGAACAATTCTAACAGGTATTTTGCCGAAAAAGTCTGAAAAAGTCTGAACTTTATAAGCCAAATTTAAGGTCTAAACATTTGAGAGAGTAGAGTTCTCGATCGATACGATCCAGGATAAACATGTCAAAAATCCAAGATTGCTAATGTAATTCGTCACCCCATGATTATAGGTAATCAAATGGTATACTTGTGAAATTAGGGAATAATTTCACTTGCGTTTTGTCCAAATCCTAATAACTTCCCTCGCCTAAAGGCTCGGAAAATTATAAGGATTTGGACAAAATGCGCGTGAAATTATTCCCTAATTTCACTCGTTACCATTTGATTACACATATAAAAAAATAAAACGTATTCGTGTAGAATCTATTTCGATGCTACAAATGATTAACTTACTGATAAAACCAATACTTTTTGATAAAATCGTTAACAATGACTGAAGAATCGATAATTATCGATAACTCACATCAGATCCTTTTATCCCATATGTACCCCATACCCCAATACCCCATATCCCAATACCCCATATGTATTTTTAATCAATTTAATCTTTTTTATTCATCTTAGTCATTGTAATTTTTTTCTATCGATATGTATTTTTTACTGTAACATCAGATATGTAATTTTATCGGATGCTTTTCAATAAAGACGTTATTATTATTATTATTATTATTATTATCGATTTTATCGATAGTTTGCGATAACAATCAGTTGATTTTTACCGAATGCTATGGATTATCGATTTTATCGGTTGAACACACCAGGAATGATGCACCAGTCTAATAGGACTTTCAAAAAAGTCCTTCGTCCGATTCCTCGGGCGGCTTCCTCGCTCGCTCAGCCGCTTCGCGGCCTAAATTTGTAAAGCTCGCTCCGCTAGCTTAGAAACTCGTGAGGTCGACTTGTGGCTGGCCTGAGAAAACAGCCAACATTTGGCGAGGCTACCACTGGTTTCCCCGCCAAATGTAACCAGTGGTAGGGTCGCCAAAGGTCGGCTGTTTTCTCAGGCTCATAACTTGTGGCAAGTCTACAGTCTATACAAATCACAAAATATGTTCCTACCCAAGCAGCAGGGCAAAGGCTATTGTAAAGTTCCTTCTCTTTGCTACATGCTTCTTCACTGTTACCGTTCAAAGATAGGCAAGCGAAGTAACTATCCCGCGCTGCATGGCATTTTCTTCTTTCTTCTCCAGTTGGAGCCGGCATCGTTTGTCCAAGGACGGATACGTATGGTTATTCCTTCATGTTACGCTTACGCCAAATAGATATGTCCTTCATGTGCCCTTCATGTAATAGTAATAGATTACCCTGTATACCCTTAGCAGCCACGCCTTGTCTATCACACCGCTTTGACTTGTGGGATCGTAATGGCCGTTAGATTACCCGCAAAATACAAACACTGTTTTGTTGGCGTTTTTATATACTCCAATGCATGTCTAGCTTATGACTAAATAATAGGTAAGGGGAGAATCAGACAATATCCTAGTGTAAAGAAGTGGTTAAGGGTCAAATTTGTTGAATTGAAGATGAATTCCAGCTGGAGATCCGAACAAGAAGACCCCACTGTTGTCAGCGCCAGACATGTATTTCGTGGGATTGAATATGTTGTCACTCTCATGATCGACAACATCAAGGAGATGTTTGTCCTTGAGGTTGAAGATAGGCTTACTTCTGATCAATGGAGAGGACAGTTCGATGCTAAATGTAAGTACATGCCTGGTAGAAAATAAATGAAAATTCGAATGTGTTTACTTAATTAAAGTCAGATCATTTTATTTGTTGTAGTTGAAAATAATTAACAGGGCTAAAATTATTTTAACGTCGTGAAGTTCTCGATAAGCTCTGTCTACTTTTCATTATCATTAACCGGAAACGGTGAGCTTATAGAATTGGCCGTGTATTTCATTCCATAATCGTGTATAACATAATAATACTCCTTGAGTATGGCAGCGTTGCCTGGGACCCATATAACCCGATATTTTGGCAATATCTGCAACATAGAAAAAGAAAACATGTGACAAGACTGGGCCACTTTAGACTTCTGACAATCTGCCATTTCTCTTTAAATCATCAAGTTCTTATCCTAGCCAGCGTTTTTGCAAACAATGGGTTTACGGTCAAGTCGCCCGATTGGCCCGAAAGTCATCTCGCCCAAAGTTATGTCACCCAAAATCAGAGTTGTGTCGCGCAAAATTTTTGGTCAAGTTGCCTGAAATACTGACTTATCATGCTCAACAGCATCCTTGCATCCTTATTACATATTTATTGTGCCTCTTTCATCTCATCGAAGATTAAAGAATGAGATATAGTAGTCATTTATCGCACTTGTTTTGTTGTTCATCAAGGGTTAAAGAGGGAGATATATATTACACATTTATACCGCTTCTTTCACCTCATCGTCGCTGAAAGAACGAGGCATGTTATACATTCATTCCTCTTGTTTCATCTCCTGATGGTTTAAAGAATGGGACACATTAAAAAACACACCCCGTTTATTTAACAAAAATTAACTTTGTTTCTCTTTGCACTTCTCGTGATAAAATTCGGGTGACTTTACTTGGCATTTCGGGTGACATAACTATGGTTTCAGGCAACATAACTTTGGGCGAGATGACTTTCAGGCAACTTGACCTTATGACATTAAAAGGGTTTGGAACAAAATAAGAAAAGACTTTGAATTCTTAAGTAGTAAACAAACCCTCTGACAACCTAGAAACAGAGTAGCTGAGTGGTCAGTTTTACAGGTGATGGCAGATTATTGATAGGTCTGTGGTAAGTCTGGTGTGACCTAGTAAGAAATAAAAGTCAGAAGTCGATTTAATAAAACTTTTACAAGTGTAGCCGTTGTTTTAGACTCTAAAAACAATAGCTACACTTGTAAAAGTTTTAATAAATTGACCCCAGGTCCATCAGAACTAACTTATTCTCTCTTAATTTCACGAGTATTGAATTTCGTGAAAAATCATGGGCCATATTTCACGAGTATTTAATTTCGCAATTTTTAGGAAAAGCTAGAATTGGAGTGTATGAAATTTTGTGATTTTTCTATTCTTTAAATTACAATGTATGTAAAGTAACTTTAACCTCAGAACAGTAACAACCTAATTAATACTTTTATCGTATATTATACAACAGAAAACAAAGACAATTACAAACAAAACAAGCTAAACATAAAAAAGCATAAGGTTTTCAACAGTCTAAATAGGTACCTGCAAATAGTCACATAGTAAATATTTTACATTCTGATAAACTTTGTTCTTATAATGTTCTGTCAGATATGATTCTTTCCATATTAGATCTTTACATCCCTTATACTTCTATGTCTGGTATTAAAGGTGATGATTTTAATCTTGTGAGTGTTAGATTTCATGAGTATTTAATTTTGCAATTTTTCCCAAATCTTAAAAATCACAAATTTAATACTTGCGAAATTAAGTGAGAATAAGGTCGCAAGCAGTGATCACATGTAAGGCTTTTAAGCTAAGCATTCAAGGACGTCTTTCTTAAAAAGAACAGTTAGAAACTGCTGTAGATGTCTAGACTGCTTGCATTCCACCTTTTCTCTTAGATCCATCTTGAGTTCTTAGACAGTTCGTAGGGACAAAAAACACTTTTAGCCAATAAAGGACTGGGATGAGACAAGAAAAACAGAACAAAAGAGTCAGCAGTCTGTCTCCTCCGGGGCTTACACCCTCGTTTCTCATAGCTTCCCCACTGTAAATTTGAAGAGAATAGGAGACTACTCACAGTCTAGTAAATGTCCGTAGTGGAAAGGAAGTCATGGCAAACTTACAGGATTTGTAAAAGGTGTAATTTTTCAGCTGTTTGTTTTCTATTTATGTAAAATGTCTCCACTGAAGAAGGATGATAAACCCGAAACATTTGTGTTTCTTTGAAAACATTTGACACTTTTTGACATTTCTTTCCAAATATCACCTTATCAGCTATTGGCGTTTTACTTAAACTGGCTGATTCACAAACCCACTTTTAAAACAGTCAGTTGGTTTTAACCATTGCAATTAAAAAAAAAAAATGTTTAACTTTTTCAGACCGATCATTTGGCATTGTCCCCAGAAAGAAGAAAGATCAACTTTTGGTAAACACAAAAGCAGTTTGCTTTTGAAAAATTTTGTTAGCACAAGCTGAAAGAGCATATTGAAATTAGGTAACCTGAGAATTTTCATCCGTATATTTCAAAAGTAGTGATTGCAAGCGCTGCCGAAAGTCATAAAAGCCACCCAGTAGTGCTTGCATGGTTTTACATACAAATCCTTGTAAATTCTAAACTTTTTAAACTGTCGTGTCATCTTTTTCTTACGCATTTAAGGGCTCAAATTGTCTGTTTTGAATTAAAAGGAGACTTGAGCCCTGTAATGCTTAAGGATATATTTTATGACAGTTTTAAAAAATTTAATTTCAAAGTTACAAGGATTTGTATGGAAAACCATTCAAGCGTGACTGTATGGCAAAAGTTGTTTTTCTCATACTAATGCTTCTAACTTTCGGCGGTCATTGCAATCGCTACTTTTGAGATATACGGCTGAAAGTTCTCAGGTTACCAATTAATTTTTTAATATGCTCTTTCAGCTTGTGCTAACAAAATTTTTCAAAAGTGAACTGTTTTCATGTTTACCGAAAGTTGATCATGCGATCAAGTCATGCAAAGAGCCTATTAATTTAGAAAACATGCCAAAACACTTTCATTTTAGAAACATTGTCATACAAAAGTAGATAAATAACAAGCTTCAGTTTGTATTTAGCTATGACTGATATTAAACTTGGTGGCTCTTAAAAGAGCCGTTGGCTTGTTACCCTTAGTGTGCTAAATAAAACTAAAAACAATAATATTAAGTTTAAGAAATAAAGGCAGCTGGTAATGAAACTAAGTTTAAAACCATTTTAACCTTAATTTCATTTTGATCTACTACATATTACGTGGCAATTTGCTTTCAACAGGCCATTTCTGAGTTGCACAAAGCCCCTGTTTCATAGTGAGGCTACACAAGAAGCCATTGATATAAAACTTTTAACTCATCACAAGAAAAGTTTTGCACTTGGTCTTGTTTTGAAAGTTAGGATTATTGGAACTCTGAAATGGCCTATTTTCACCGTTTTACTTATTATGTTACATGCACCTCACCTGAAGACAATAGCCACCAACAAAGTTGTCCAAATGATGGCCATTTTATACAATTTAGGGCTCACACTATTTTGTAATAAATTTTAGCAATAACATTGCTTTGATCTGTTTGTCCAGTGCACATGACTGTGGTTGTGACTTTAATCAATACAGATATTGAGGATCTAACTCACAAAACTGGAAATTTCAAGCAGTTTACAGTGTTCATCAGCATGCTTGAAAGTGCACTGTCTAAGGTAAGCTGTTTTGTTCCTGATAAAACAATAACTAGGGTACAGTTACTTTTTTCACCCTCTTGAGATTACATTGTACATTTTGCGATGGTTGAAGTCCAAGAGCTATTTTTGCTACTTCATTGCATGGTGGCAGCATTATTCTCATATACTTCTATTCTCACAGAACAGTAATTCAGTATCAGTGGACCTTTTGACCTATGGAGACCTTGAATCACTACGCAATCAACATCACAGGCCTGGGTTTGGAACACAGCATATTCCTGGTGCTAAAACAAGATCACAACTGAACTCAAAGAGATACCTTATCATGACATATACTGTTGAGTTTGACAGGTGAACAACAATTCCCTTTGATATATTTGGTAATAAACAGTAAAATTTTATGTCTTTGGGTAGATTTCCACCGTCGGGTAATTTTTAAGTTTGTATGCATGTAAAATTTTACAGGCTTAAATAAAATAGGGGCAATTTACATTGTATGGAATGTCGTGTGTAATGGTAAAAGTTCAGCAAGTTTTAATTTTTTCATTTATGTGCAACCTTCCATACTTTGCTTCTAATTTAAGCTTATTTATGCGTGAAATTTTACATGCGTAAACACATGAAAATTATGCAACAGGGGAAATCCACCCTTAGGTAATAAACAGTATTTTGCCCACATAAACATTTTTCAGGGCTAGAATGCTTACCATGATAATGATACGAGGAGATGTCAGTCAGTGTTGAGATAAATTTGCTTTCAGTCCCAAAAGAAGGGCATTCCAAATGAAAGGCCTTGAACTGCTTTGTAAATAAAACACTAGCTGTTTTTAATTCCAAACTAATGAGACCCAACTTTTTGGGCCTTTTTTGTTTATTTTTTGAATTTTTAATATTTTTGGAATTTCATTCCATCCAATATCTCTTGTATTTTTACATTTTCTGATTAAGAATAATCCACACACTGAAAGATATGGGGAAAATTGTGGCTAAGTAATATTAATTTAATTCAATCAAAATTATTTTAGCTTAAAAAACAAGTTTGCAACAAATACACATGGCTCGTACAATCTTGAAAAGGTACTGAATTTTACTATTCGTCTTGAAAAGTCCTTGAATTTGGTTTAGATCCTTGAAAAGTACTTGATTTCTTTATTAGGCCTTGAAAAGTCCTTGAAATTCACAACCTTGTCTACACCAGACAACTTTTTTCTGTAAAATTAGATTATTTTGCCGATGCAAAGTTGGCTTATCCTCGGTCTTAGAACCTGTAAAACTCACGGGTAACATAAAGACATCTTTCTGCATGAACAATATTTTATTTCTGTTTCTTTATTTCAAATGCTATTTCTGTACCTCAGATGCAATTGCAAATCATACCCAGTCATTTTGCAAAGTTTTTTTGCAGAAAGTAGTATAAAATAACGTGATCGACGATGGCCAAAGAAGTAAAAGTCATAAATGACTTCATGACATGTAGCCAAATTATAGGGTGATCAAAGGGGGTTAAAGAGTGCCGATTTATTAAATAAATGTTAGTCCTTGAAAACAGTAATTTGTCCTTGAAAAGTCCTTTAAATTTGCTTGTCTTATGTTGTGCGAGCCATGAATACACATGTTACACTGTACATGTATATTACTGTGAAACTTTCAAGGTGTAAATGCCAGAGATATTTCTGTAATGTTACTGCTCTGCAAGGAAAAAGCCAGTCAGTTGAATCAGGCATGATAAAACTACAAAATAATTAGTTTGAAGGATCAACAGCAATTAGTTTAAGGGCTTTTGTGCTCTATTCACAACACTCATAATGATAAGCAAAGTTGAAATACATGTACACCTAATTAACAGCTTTAACGTGGCTAGTCAAATGGTTTCACCTGCAATTGGCTTAACCCCTGATAATAAATTCCGATTTCGCATGGAAATCATTGATTCTTGCTCAGTTTTCACCTGAACCAGGCAGGGGTGAACTCTTTGGTCTTTATACACCCCTTGCAATTTTCTCATGGTGAAACTGGCAGCTGAAGTCCAATCTCAGTTCTTGATGCTCAAGCTGAGCAACCGGCACAATATCAAGAGCTGGAGGTATATCTCTTCATTGGAAAAGGCTATTTGAAGAGACTTGTAGCAGGCGTCTGGTCTATGACTAGAGAGACACCGGAGGCTCTCTTTTAGCAAAGTTGCCAATTTAATCGGCGGTGGCTAGTCGGTGAACTGGCAAATAAGGCATCTAGTCTATGACTAGAGAAATGCTGCGCAGACTCACTTTATTTGTATTAATTCCTTCTGCTTTAGTGGTCATTGGATGTTTACAAAGGGCTGAAGTGAGGTTGCCGATTAATCAGCGGTGGCTTGTTGGTAAACTGGTGGATAAGACATCTAGTCTATGACTAGAGAAACTCCACAGGCTCTCTTTATTTGTAGTAATTCCTTCAGCTCAAGTCGCCATTGGATGTTTACAAACAGCTGAAGCGAGGTTGCCTATTTAATTGGCGGTGACTAGTTGACAAACTGGCGGTTAACGCATCTGGTCTTTGATTATTAATAGCTATTTGTATCTATTTATAGCTTTGGCTCAAGCAGTTGTTGGATACGTTGGAATGTTTACAAAGGGCTGAGGCAAGTTTGCCAATTTAAACGGTGGTGGCTAGTTGGAAAACTGGTGTTTTAGGGTGTAGTCTTTGACTAGAGAAACTCTGCGGGCACGCTTTATTTGTATTAATTCCTTCGGCTTGAGTGGTTGTTGGATGTTTTCAAAGGGTGGAAGTTAGGTTGTCAAATTGTCACTGGGTTGTTGGTAAACTGGCGGCATGCATGTAGTTTATAAGTAGAGGAATGCCACATGCTTGTTTTACAACATGTATTTAAGGTATTAATTCCTTCAGCTAAGGTAATCCTTGTCTGATTGCTTTGGATGTTTACAAAGGCTAGGATTCAATCGGCAGTAGAATAGACATAGGCATCTATAACTAGAGGGGATGCTGTAGGCTCGCTTAATTAGCTTTTTCTACCCGGAACAATCAGTAATCGGAGGGTGAAAATTTCTGGTAAGTGACCGTTGTTAGCACTATAAGCCAGTGGCTGACAGTGGAGCGAGAACTAGCTCCTTTTCTCATGATCCTATGGTAACTGCAAATTTATTGTTGGCTTACTGTGTGTGATGTTTTGAAAGACGGAAAGAAACACTCTCTTTTTAATATTCACAAACTGCGTTCAGAGCGCAAACAGTCGAAGCAGTTGGTGGAGGTTGTTGTTAATGTATCACCTGAGCACTTAGTTGAGCACTTATAAAGCACGCCCACTATCACAAAAAGTATCGAGTCTGCATAGCATGTAGTGCTGATCAGGTTGGTTATGCACCTTTGGGGGGTAAAGACCATAGCAGGCAAAAGTAGACAAGTGAAATCATAAGGAGACTCATGTGAGAGAAAATAGAGGTGGTGAAAAGGTACGTTCTTCAAGCCTTTTTTGTTGGAGGTGTGGCTATTGTTACAGGATGGGCCATTTTGTATAGACTGTATACCTTTACCTTGCTCTATTAGAAAGTCTGAGCAACACAAAGCATCCTCAAAACCTGACAAGTGAATAATGTTATTTAACAAGTGAAAATTAATGGGTGTCTAGTATTTTGTCAGGTCTAAGTGTCAAAAAATGAGAGGAGAGATGATATACCTGACAATAACGAACAACCAATCCTGTTTATTCAGCTCCATATACATGTATTGTGTACTGCTTTTTGTCCTAGGCAGCATAGTTATGGCAGCTTTGAAAGCAAGGTATCCTTAATTTAAAGGCCTTCCTGCCTTGCCGGTCTTAGCTGTTGTCTCTCTGCTGACTTTAACAGGGTGAGCATGATCCCAGATTTTGGGTTGATATATTTGCCCAGTGGTGTCCTTGCCTTTTTCTGAAAAACAAAACAAATTAAACAACCAAACTTGGCATAGGGACGAGAGGCCTTGATTTCCAACTTCAAGAATAGCAAAGTTAAAGCCATTGAAATGGGATAAGTTCATCAGTACCAGGACTTCGTTAAGGTCGGAGGAGAGGTAACAGCCCGTGACCATGGTAGAATGACATAAAAAGCTGATAAAGAAAGGAGAGCTGACTAGCGATATTGGAGGGTTGTTGTTTTGTGACTCAAAATGTGTTCAATCCTTGGAGCTTCATAATGTTTCTTGATGTTCGCCGGAATCCTCAAATGAACATCTGCATGTCCATTCCAAGAAATTAAAACATGATGAAATGGCAAGAGATTTAGGCATTATTGTAAAAAAACAGGTTTTCTTTTTCATCCTGTAAACACTAATACGGGCACTCAACAGATGTCTTCATCTTGGTTAAATGACAGGTAGTGATCTCTTATTGGTGGTGAGAGGTGTACATGGCTTTCATTCTGGTTGAGCAATAACACTATCCTTCACAGGGGTAGCAGACTTATCTGAAGTTATGCAGCTTGTAAGTTGGAAGTGTAGTCATGCCCCCTTGTATCTGTTGTATCGTTTTGTTAAGGTGATCAACCCTGATGGTGCCACGCCTTCTGTGAGGATTAAAAGTCGCGGTACCCTGACATGATGTAGATCACTGCGCCTTTCCAACCAGTGGGCAGGACTATACCATCAATGGCTTATATTCTCATTGAGAAGAATCTCTGATTGCCGGGTCACATGCACAGGTTGGATAATAACAGACTACCAAAGCGGCTGTTATACTCTCAACTCTGTTTAGGAATGCGTAATTAAGGGAGGCCTAGATTAAGGTTCTAAGATATTGCTAAGATAAACATGAAATGAAGAGACATCAATATCATTTGATGGCAGGAGAGTGCCAACAACAGACCTACCTGGAGAAGATTTATCAAACTGTGCTGAATCCTAGAACAGTCTTAGTCGAACCGACAGACCGTGATGACGATGACAGAAATGTTCATTCAAAAAAGCTTTTGTGTGTTAAGGAACAAGTTAATATTAGTTTATTGCTAAAGTATTTATAAACAGCTCTTATATATAGGACAGCAAGTGAGTTAGTCAAGGAGATACAAAGTATTAAGGCATGTAGCGCACAAGTGTGCTTTATGGGTTGGCAAAAACTGGTCTAAACGTAGAGACGGTTTTTGTTTTGAGAATTGAGGATTTGAAGAGATTTATTGGAGACATAGTAGTAGTTTAGATTACATAGTTAAACAAGTAATTGAGCAGTAATGGCTGTGGGGTGCTGATCTATCATTTTCCCAAACCAATTGATACAATTGTGCATGCACATGAATGTTGTTGAATAGATTACTGTTAAACTCAAACAACAATGATTACAATAAGTTGAGGATGCAAGTACCAGTAATCTATTCAACAACATTCATATTCATGCTCAGTTGTATTTAGGTATGGGAAAATGATTGATCAGCGGACTTAGCCAAGGTGGGACAGCTTAGCTTAGGGGTAGTTAGTAAATGTGACCCACATGGTTTTCTAGGTGGGAGTGTAGGCAGTTCACCCCTGTATGGCTCTGCTGATCTCAGCAAGGATCAATGATTTCCACGCAAAATCAGTTTTTGTCATCAGGAGTTATGTAATCACACGTGAAACCATTTGACTAGCCATGTTAAACCTGTTAATTGGGTGTATTTCACCCATTATAAATGGTGTGAATAGTAATGACAGACTGACAAAATGTTGACAACTGCTGTTGTTAAGGCACTTAAAATTGATATTTTTATTGAGTGAGCTAATAAGAGCAATTACACAGATGGCCGCATTTTGTTTTTCCAGGATACACTATCCCCTTCCTTTACCATATGTGGGAAAACCTGATCCTGTCCAGCTACAAGAAACAATTAGAAAACTAAGAGAAGAAAATCAACATCTTAAAGAACAGGTAAAGCTCTGACTGTGCACTTCCTTACAAACTACTCTCCTAATGTCACAGTTATCACAAGGATTTCAAGTTGCCTGGTATATTCAATTAGTACAGTGTAGGCGGGGAATTGAACAGATAGTAAGTTCTTTTGGTTCTGTTTCCCTTTTGTGTCAATGAAAGTAGCCAGGTATCAGGCTCATTGGAGCCAGGTGGGAATCCCTGGCCCCTTCTTTATTATTTAGCTAAACATTTAAGAGAGCCATGTCATTTAAGTCATATTAGGCTATAAAGGAAATTGTTGCATAGCTGGAAATTTCTTCCCAACAGCGTGCGCTGTCATTGGTTACTTCAAGGTCACATGACATTTAACAATGAAACTGTTTCCTGTCAAAATCTCTGAGCAGGCAACATTGTAAAATCTATGAAGTCAGATCAGAGAGTAACAGTGCACTGTTACCCGTGAATGTTGACCGACAACTGCCATTACAGCAAGGTTAATGAGCCTCAAAATTTCCAGCTATACAATAATTTCCTATAATAGTCTATTGAGATTCTCAGGAAACAAAATTAACTGTTTCCCTCGGGACCAGTCATCATGCTCTTTTTGTTATTCTTGTTATGCACCTGTAAAAACTCATGGTACTCTTATCCCCCTCTGCAGTTACATGTGTGTAAGTGTCAATGTATTTAGCGTGCAGTTAGCCCACATAGCGACCATTTGTGATTGAGTTATTGTGTGAGAGTTAGAACAAGAGCAAAAAATGGAGGAAGGGGTATGGGAATAAGAGGAAACAATATTTCCCACCAACCCCATGATTCTGAAAAATTAATGAGTTCACACACGAACGCAGCTTCTCATCAGTACAGTGTGGCAATGTTAATTGAAAAGCGATCAATGTAGGAACCAGCAATGTTGTGTTTGAAAAAAAGGGCATTTAATTTAATGATTCAAGCATTCTCAATTTTATTATATTTGATCAAAAAGTCTCAACTTTTAAAAATTTCTTGATAAACTGGAAGAAGCAAAACACATGTTTATTTTTTTGGATCAGTCTAGTGATTCAGACGAAGATGATAGCTAAATTCTCTACTCCATATGTGAAGTCTTTGCAAATCAACATTCTTATTTCACAACAGAAGATACAGGATGGATTAAACCATTAAAATCAGTTAGTAATCTGGGTATTTGTCAATACACTATCCTGTGTACGTTTTTGTTTTTCATGTTAATCATCTTTTTGCGTTAATTTGAAGTTTCTATATGGGTATTAAATTTCGCAAGAATTTTTATTTAATAAGGCTAAAACTGAAGAAGATTGAAACAGATTGCAATTCTACATTGTAGTTTTTGAAATCTGCTTAGCCTAACAGTTTTTCAAAGTCTATCTGCTGTTTGTAAGTTAAAATAATTGTTTATTGCGCAGCTTTGGTGTTGTCATTTACAAGTATTTAACATAGAGCAAGAGTATTTAACATAGAGTAAGAAGAAGGACTGCCATGACATGCCCCCTTCAATAGTTCAAAAGAAGCAGTCTGTTCACTACAACATGATGACAACTATGAGGATGAGATTTTCTTAATACCATTAAGTAGTGCGTGCTTGTAAACCAGCATCATTTCAGTTGAAAACTCAAAGCTTTTGTCATTCTAATGAAGGTTTTAGCAAGAATGTCATAGTGGTGGAAACAAGTTATCAAATATCAGATGTTTTATCACTTTGCAAACAGGAGAGAAACTTTCCCTAGCTGTCTATTTTCTTAGAAAAATATTATGCAAAAACATATTTGTCTGCCTCTATTAGCCCTATTATTAGACCACTATTACAACAAATGCTGCAGTTTCCTTTGCATCTGTCTTTTAAAAAGGCAGGGTTCAAACATGATTTATATATTATAGTATTATTCTCACTCTTCCCCATTCAGCTTATAAAAGGTTCAAGAACTGCTGGACTGGTTCATCTACAAAAAGAGTAAGTCATTATCGAGTTTCCTAGGAATTGTTTTTAAAGCATAAAGGTGCAGCATATCCAAGTTCAACTCACACTATGATGGTTTTTGTTTGCAACGAGTAGTGTGAAGGCAACACTTGACATGAGATTCCCGGCGGGGGGGGGACTCCCCATATGAAAGGGGTGTGGATGCTCGTCGGAAATTTTGAATTAACCCCTAAGGGAGACCGATCTGGGCATGGCCCAAGGTTTTTGTGAACCCCTAAAAGAGACCATGTTAAAACACAGACAATATATATCTATTTTATATTTTTCACATGCAACCCTAAACGAGACCTACAGAGCTAAATATGAAAGTGAAGAATGATCATCGCAGTAAATTTTCCAATTTAAGCAACTGGAAAGAAGAAGTCTGAAAAAAATCAGGGCTTCAACGGGATTCGAACCCGTGACCTCCGCGTTACAGGTGCGTTGCTCTACCAACTGAGCTATGAAGCCACACATTGGGAGCGAGGTCAATTTACTGAGTTCATATCTCCCGTGAGGAGTGAAATGATGTGATGTAAATATGAAATAATTCATTTTGAACTGTGGTTGTAGATGAAAGTGAAGAATGATCATCGCAGTAAATTTTCCAATTTAAGCAATTGGAAAGAAGAAGCCTGAAAAAAAAATTCAGGGCTTCAATATGATGGCCTTTTTTCCCAGAACACCCTAAGTGAGACCAAATTCCGAAATTTACACCCCTAAGCGAGCTGATGAGCATCCCCACCCCTTTCATATGCGGAGTCCCCCCCGGGATGAGATTACTGTTATAAAAGTATACAATTAAGAAATGCAAAAAAAAAAAAAAAATTAAAACAGTAAAATATGTATTGAGCGTCCACAATGTTATTATTTTTTTTTTTAAAAGTCATGTGTATGATCAAAAAATTAAAATGTCTTAAAGTAGTTCATGTAGTATTCCTGTAGATAAGTTTTAGGTTACTGTGAATGCTTTTGGTTTTAGCTGATACCAGAGAGATGACCTTCACATGTACATAATTTGTAGTTACATAATTGACACTATATGACACTATGGTGAGCTGGCCACTAAACAGAGGTGGCTCAAATCATAATAATTTAAACTTACACTGAGAGGCATATATACAAAATTAGTTTGAGGGATGCATGGATTTGTCCAATTATCCCTTCATGTGAAAGCAGCTAACACAAGACAATTTGGAAAGACAATCTTAGAGAATTTGTAGTCACGTGGGCTTTTGTGTCAAACACATTCAATTCAAACCAAGTAATTTTCAGGATGCAGCAAACTCACAGTTGTTTAATATTTGACTAATGAAAAAACACTAACCATGTAAAGTAAAATTGTTATGAAAGTCTGTTATTTGAGCCTCATCTTCAGATTTAATGCTGTCTAAGGAAAACCAGTAAGAATATTGGACAAGTGGACGGTTTTGTTTACTACCCTGCCTAGGCTTAGTTATTTATTGATTTTTTTGGGTGCTAACCCAGTGTTGACATTTTGACGATTGGCTAGTGAACTTATTTCTACCCTACTTACTTTTAATGTATTTTTTTTTTGTTGGTCAGAAATGAAAAGTTGGTCAAGGAAAAACTGGAAACAGAAAAGCAGTTGGAGACATTTCAGCGAGAGGTGAAACATGTCTCCAAAGCAAATACAGCTAAAGAAATTAGAGTGTTAAAGAAAGTTGTACAGAATCTGGAGGTAGGTACTGAGCGGCGGCATCATCACTTTCCTTGGATACTTACGAAACCTCACTTTCATTCTGCTTTTCCACAGAGTGATCTTATGAAGGAGAAAAGCAAATTCCAGAGGACAATCAACAAAAAAAATGAGGAACATAGGAATTTACTGGAAGAGGTAAGTTGGACGGTGCAATCCTTACAGAATTTGACTATTTAATATTGTCTACAAATAATCGAATTTTGTGGTAGTTTTAATGTGACATTTACAAAAATAGAAATTTGTTGGAGTACTCAATGCAGCAAATTTACGTGGCAAACTTGCTTATATTTCAGAAATGACTGTGAAAAGCAGAATGCACCGTTGTGATCATACATGTATAATGACCCTTAGTGTTGTTTCCATAAGGACTCGTGTTCATATTAAACTTATTATTGCATGTTTGCTTAGATTTGCCCACAATTAATGGCTTACTTGACTTTCAAAACATTACAATTTTTCTCATAAAAAGTATCAGCTTTTTGTGACATCACACAATGGAATAACTCTAAAGTTACAGCCTACGATTCGACAGTATAAGCAAAGTGATTTCAATAAAATAAACAAAGCGACTCACATGCAGGAAATTATTCAGGATTTGGTGTCTATTTTTTAAATCGTTTTTCTTTATAACGTTTTTCAACAAAAAACAGTATACAGTCAATACCGACGTAAACTCTGTAACACGGTTCGGCAATACAAAAATGTAAAAGGCGTGTAAACGAAAGCAAGAGGGCGCACACATGTTTAAAAAGTTTTAACGCGTATCGGAAATGTAGGGGGAAGTCCATTGTCACGGACTAAAGCAGCATCAAGTTGCTTTTTATTTCTGCTCAATTACAATTTGCTTTTATAGCTGGAAGAAATCCGTTCAAATGAGAGAAATTTAAGAGCAAGATGTAGAAGCTTAACTAATGAACTTGCACTGTTGAAGAGAGGGTAAGTTAGTAATTTGTCATCCGCCCTGTTCAGTGGTAACATACAACATGGTTTGAGGAGTAGTACCCAATAAGGACAAAAAGTGGCTATTTGGTGATAGCACCAGTCACACTTAGTCTGATGATTACTCCTCGTTGTCGTTGTGTTCAGAAAAACCTGTTTATAAGTTAAACAGTCCCACCCTTAGTTTACTTGCATTTACAGTACACCGTCAGAAAATCCTGCTGTCTAGCCAGTAGCTCTATAATTATTATTTGGAATGATCGATGGAATTCTACTTATTCAAGTCGCCTTTAAGACCCATTATGCGACAAGATAAATGCGTCAAACAAGCGCCAGACCCATTCTTCGTAGATAAAAGCGAGCAGCCGAAGCAGAAGGATTTAGCTAGAATTTATTAACGGTTATTCTCTCGCTAAATTCGAATCTTTTTACGAAACTTCGTAACCTCCCGACCCGCAGTAAGATCCCCTTGTATGGCTTTGCGGTTTTAAAACGTACCCGCAACTGTTGGTTTCGTTGTTTTCAAAATAATGATTAACTGTCAGTTAAAGAAAAGCCATTATTGCTGGCTACTTTGGTTCTTGTACCTAATCTCACTCTTGATTTATCTATTATTTATCTTTAGCCTGCGGGGAGCAGACGCTTTTTTCGGCTCTTGTTTCACCCGCAGGCTGATCTTGAACAGGGGCATTATTCATTTTCACGAAATTTGCGTCTTCCAGATTAAATACAGTCGTTAACCGTTTTTAGGAGAACCCGCTTGCCTATCCTTGCTTGCGAGCGACCAACCTCGTTGATCATTTTTAGGAGACCCTGTTAGCCGTAATACAAAATATTAACAAGAAATACTTTGATTAACGTAGGTCTAGAGCGTCACCAGCCCAGGGTAGCAATTCGGCTTCCAGAGCAAGTAGAGCTTCACGGCGTTCAGTTTCCAAGGAGAGAAGGCAACCCCCCAAACAGTCTTCAGGCATGCGCAGTAGAACTCCTTCACCAGCAAGTATGTACCATCAGCTTTACAGGCATATGGTGTTTTGAAAGTTACTTTGTCCCTCTCAAAAAACCTTTTTACCGGAATCCAAGCATTTTGAAAAGGGAGCGGGAAAAGAGATAGATATTGTAACGTACGCGTCACGCATTAAAGTACCAGAATCATAAGAAACAAACATTACCACCTGGAAAAGAATGCAACCCTAAAAGTCCTCACATACTCAGTCCCGCACCTACAGGTAAGATTATATTGGCTAATCTCCAACGAGCTCGCGGACATCTAATCAAAATTTAGACCCAAGTGTAATTAAAGTAAATTGCTTTGGGGTTAGGTAACTTTTCGAGAATATACATCCACTCTATAATGAAATTTCTTGTTTTGCAGTTGGAAGAATTCCACGGTTTGACCCCACTGCGTATCCTTTTTCGATGGAGTAATCATAAACAGTTGATCTTTTCTCCTTAAGTGTTATTATTTACTTGAAAGTATTCTGCATTTGCACCTCTTTGTTTGATGGTCCTTTCAAGATTTCCAAAAAGAGGAATTGAGAAACACTAACTCGCTGGACTGGGGGGGAACAGATCATCGCCCAAAACCTCGACAACGGAAGTGGGCTCTTTGTTTAGACGCAGGTGATTCCTTTTGGGACCAGAATGCCAACTGGAGCCTTCTTTTTTGTATGGCCATGCCTTTCCGCTCCTTATCCGTTTTTCTGACTGCATCCACTTGCAGCAATTCCCTTGTAAACAACACAAAATTAAGCAGGAAAGATTGAACAATCCTTCTTGATTTAATTGGCAGTCAATAGTCATTCTTTAAACAGACAAGCGATAAAACATTAGAGAGATTAAGATTCACGTTTACGCTAAACGGCACAGGTGAATTTGTACCACGTGACCAAGTTTTCCCTTAATTGTCGTTAACTGTTTATTACTTCCTCTAAAAAATAAGCAGTTTCACGCCAGTTTTATACATAAGAATTGTTCTGGGGAGTTTTTATCTGCTTATTTTCTATTCTGAGAAATTCTCAATTTGAATCTGACGTTTGCCGTTTGGCGTAAACGTGAATCTTAATCCCTCTATTCGGCTTTTGGTGTCTCCAAACCGGAGATTTAAAAACAGCTTGTAATTGCACTTACTTTGACGGTAAGCAGACACATAGAGTCTTGTCATTTTGTTAAGTGAAATTGAACTCTGATGCAATAAAAAAAGCTTAAGCACAAGTGCAGGAACATAAAAGATCAATTTTGTTCGTCTTGCTTGCCCTTGTGCTTACGCACGCGTCTTGGCCCGGTGAAACAAGTATGGGACTGTTACCGTTGCGTTTGTGCATGCGGTTTTGTATGTGTTGCTTGCGACACAATTAAAATTTTCAACATGACTGCAGAACTTCAGTTTGGCTTTAAAAAAGCGTCAATGTCCTCTATTCCAATATTCAAGAGTGCTGTTGTCTTATGTGGCGCATATGTCCACCCAATAATTTGTGCCCGTGGCTTGACTTTTTGCACAAACCTGTTAAATTTGTTAGTCTTCTTATCAACATTCTCTTGACAACATTAAAAGATATGTCAAAGAAAAGCAAAGGAAGCAAAAAGAGATGGAAGAAGCCAGAGGGTATTTTACAGTGTTCATTTAAATTTAACATACTGGTATTGTAATCAAGATCACACTGATTGTTGATCCGCTTGCTGATCTGTAAACTTGGTTTGATTAATAAGAAATAGGGAATCGTATTCTGCTCAGTTTTCAGTGGAGATTTTTTTAAAATTGAAAGAGGTTGTTAACAAATGAAGAAGTTACCGGTAAAATTGAAACAATAGTAACTGAGAGCGAAATGTTTCCTTGATTTAGGCCAAGGTGATGCTGTCGTCAAAGAAAACCCGGACTCGTTCCCAGGTCTTGTCGGTCTCTCTTGATTTGGGAATACAGCAGAATCACCGTGACGGTAACTTGAACTCTGAAGGGAAACGAAAAAGAGTTCTAGTTAGCGGGGTGCAAAATTCACTTTGCCTTAGTAAAAATTGATAGTTACTGATTTTTCAGCACTTCAATGTTTAGTGTGGTGCAAATTTAACATACCGGTATTTCATCAGAAACGGTAACATGATTGGGCATTTTTTATGATAACTGAAACGTGATCTGTTCGCCGTACCAATTAAAATCAAATTGATGCTGTTGATGCAGTGTTGACCAGTATTAGCCTTCAGTGTTTTTACCGATTATACAAAAAGAGGAGCTCATGGGATGGCATCCGAATGGAGTTATTCAAGTTATCGGGATAAATTTCTGTGAATTTTTGATCAAGGGAAATGAAATTTAGTTTGCATCGAGTTATCCGAGTTCGAGTTAACCGAGTAAAAATGACTGGAAGGTGGGGTGAAATCCAAAGGAAATTGAACTTAAATCAAGTTAGCGGGAAGTTCGAGTTATCAGAGTTTTACTGTAGTTACATGTATAGTTGTGGTAGTGGGTGGTTATCATAGTTTCTTAAATATGGCTAGCTTGTTCGTCAGTGACTAATTTTTTCTGTGTATTTCACGCATTAGGCGAAAAAGGACACGTTTAAGTGGATTAGGAAAACGAGGACGCTCCAGATCACTGTCCGCTGATCGTTTTTCTGCAGCAGCCAGCAGTTCTCAGGCCGCAACGGCATGGTCAGGTGAGGTTACTGCAAACTTTTTCTGAGTTGATGGCAAGTGGGTTAAGAGTCAGTGGGCTTCCATACATGTAATTTACCTGAGGTTTCGTTGTTAATATCGTAGGTGACGAATTACTCCTTAATTTTGGCGCGAAATTTCAGCGTTAATTTGTAATTTCACATGTGAAATTACAAAATTGCCCTTCCGTACGTCTCAGTGTCAAGATGGCGACGAAGTTTTAAAATGCCGTGAATGAAGATGTCAGGGCACAAAAAGACTCTTTAGAAAACCTGAACACACAAGAGAACATCAAGAGTGATTTTGCCGAAAAAGCCTGAAAAATTCTAAACTTTATAAGCCACATTTAAGGTCTAAACATTTGAGAGAGTGGAGTTCTTGATCGATACGATCCAGGATAAACATGGCTAAAATCCAAGATTGTTAAAGTAATTCGTCACCCGTGATATTAATAGGTAATCAAATGGTATACTCGTGAAATTAGGGAATAATTTCACGCGTGTTTTGTCCAAATCCTAATAATTTCCCTCGCCTTTAAACGCGCGTGAAATTATTCCCTAATTTCACTCGTCACGATTTGATTACACATACTTATTTTCTTCGTTGGCAGGTGGTAGATTAAGAAGAACCTCGTCCAATAGTAGCATAGGCTCAAGACGTTCGTCGCAGTCTTCTGTAGGTGGAGACACGTCTGACCATTCGCAATCGAGACGAGTGAAAACCAGGTAAGTGGAAGGGGTCTTTTAGATGTTATCTAAAAGGATAGTCTCTTCGTGCAACAAAAAAGCGCAGTTCTGCTTATAAAACATACGACCGAAACTGTATTTTTTGTTGATCGAGTCTTGACAAAGAATGTCGACGCTTGCAGAGATCCCACTGTTAAAACTGCTGGGTGTCCGATGAATATAGTATTTATTATAATAAATTAAGTAGCTAAATTTAGACTTACTTATTGGAGTTTTCTGTCCATAATGTTCTTGTGTTTGCCATTTTTCAAGAAATAATGTGTTTCATTCAGTAAAATCTCTTTCCTACCAAGCTTCCTATCACTGTCCCATATTTTACAAACGTACGTTGTTCTAGGCTTACCAACGGTTCAACAGGCAAGAGGAAGGCTGCTTCGAAGAAAACCTCGTGGTATAGCCGTGAAGACTCAGATATGGTATGACGTGGTTTCTTGGGGTAGCCTGGGATTGAAGGGCATTATAATTAATCACCAAAACCATCGGTATATCTGTTGTTTCTTGTGTTGTGTCCTGATATTGGTTTATTGACTTGTGAAACTCCTTTTTTTCTCAGGAACGAGGAGCAGGGGTGAAAGTTGCGACAGTGCCGTATCCTCTTTGTCAGAACGTCTTGTTGTTTCAGGGTGACATGCTATTAACCTTTCTTTTCTATAGTTTGTTGGTGGACAAAGGAGTGTTTGTTTATTGCAGGCCCAATACATTAATTCTTTCCTGAACACAAAAGACGAATTATTTTAACATTCAAATTATGTTGTGATCCAGTCAATTCCAAGACTGTTAATATCCCACGCAGGTTTTTTACAAAAACTTTACCGTGGCGCTTAAACTTGAGATGTGCACAAATATCCCAAATATGAAATTTGTTGCGGCACTTTTTCCGTACTAGGAAGTTTTAATGTGAATACGGTTTTCAGATCCTTTGCACGTTGTCCACTTGTACTGGGCATGCAGAGCAGTTTTTTAAGTGCAGGGGCCGATCCACCTCTTTTGAAGTGTAGGGGGGTGGATGTTACGGACTTAAAAAATAGCTTACCTGGTGCTGACTCAATATTATTTAGTACAGCTACAACTCATCAAGCACTTAGTTTAACAAACTAGGAAAGAGTTGTAACAAAAAAACCTATGTAATTATGTATAGCAGCAGCATAATTTTCGCGTTTTTTATCTACTTTAAAGTTTGTCCGTTCTCTCTTTGCGGCTGTTTAGAACTTCTTGAGTCATTGTTGAAGGGAGCCATGCTTTTAAAGGGACAGGTTCACGGTTAAGCGCATGCTCATAAATTACATTATATGCTTTTTTCCAATTTATTATTAATTCTATCGGTTAATAATCCCACTCACATGTATCTCAGCGATCTCAGAGTGTATTTCAAAGTAGAAGTGTATTTCAGAGTAACCTGAAGTGGGATAGAGGAGTACTAAAATCGCAGAAAAAATTAGTGGATTATGCCAACACTACCAACGTTGAATTTATTATTGACCTGAAGGTTTTACTCCATGGTTGATTAATTTACAGCTATGTTAAAATATTTAAGTTGATCAACTGCAATTTACTGCCAGAGGAGTGTGCAGATTGGTTCTTTGACAACATTATGACATGATCATATTGCTTGAATCGATGATACAGCATGTCCCGGCACAAAAACAGCGTTTTGATAAATGAGCATGCGTTGAACCGTGAACCTGTCCCTTTAACCTTCGAGCTGGCGAAAAAGACCTTCTGATGCGATAGATATAGAATTTACCAGCAGAAGCCTGTGGATCGTGACAATTTCTTTAATAATGCTCCACTAAGGTTCTTGTAACTTCTTCATTTTGCCTAGAATGTCATCGAGATATGTAATATCACTACTATTGATCAAAACTTTTAGATTTCCAGATAGACGTTAGTCTCTTTCTCAGCCGCTCGAGCAGCAGTCACTTAATGCTCCCCGTGTGGGGACGGGGAACACTGCATGTCTTCGGCCCGAGCGGCCGCAAAGGAGACTAGTTAGACTTCCGAACGCGTCAGAGGCTACATCATCAGTGCATTTCGTTTTAATCTTAGCTCCGTGGAGACGGAAAAGTTGTCCTCCTCTCAGGTGTCTCGTGGTTCGCGCTCGCTTCCAAAACCCGCCTTAGCGCCCTCAACAACGCCTAGTTTTCAGGCCTTTGCTCTTAATATGTTGTGGGATAAACGGTGTTGAATTTTACATGAAGTACTTTCTCAGCTTTTGGTGATGTTGCTGTCACCTATGCATTGCTGCTTTGTATTCATTTGTTCTTGACTATCCTCTTGTGAAGTTTTAATTACGCTTCCTTAACGTGTCTCACAGCTATTCCAGCACGCCAGAAAACCGCCCGATACTTGCTAGAGGACATCACCTTCGAGGTTAGTCAGGCAAATTTCTCGCTTTTTTGCAACAGTTACCGTGAAACTCACAAAATTGTGTGCACCAGAAATATTTGTGGTATGTTATTATGTTACAAGGGGAAAGCCAATCAGGCATGAGAAAACTAAAACCGCAAGCGGCAACGGTGTTAAGTTTGTGGCTTGCTCGCATTTTTCTGGGTGCATGTTCTGGGTTTAGATTTTCAAATCCGGATTCGGATTTGCAATAAAACGGGCAATCCAAGGACGGGTTTGATAGCCAAGAAATCTCCCCTTAGGTTTCTTTCTTTCCGTTTTATTGAGAAACTCGAAAAAGGATTTGAAAAACTGTTCTCCAGAACAGCGGTCGTGCACCTACACGCATAATTAGCAGAAATGAGACCACCGTTCTCGAGAACAGTTTTGCAAATCCTTTTTCGGATTTTCCAATAAAACGTTAAAGAAGGAACTAAGTGAAAATCAAACGCAAAATCCGAAATCCGAGCTTCAAACTCGAAATCCAGATTTCCCAATCGAACGCACCCCTGATCGTCGCTATGATTGGTCGTAACGGCAAATATTCGTGAAATATTTCGGTTGTTTACCGTGTAATAAGTAATACAGTAATGATGGTAATAAAATACATTGTACTTTTGTAGATATTGGGAATGAGTCTCTTAATCGATCAGCAGAGATGATGGAAATCGACGCACGGCTGAGTGCGCTGCAGAAGTTCATGAAAGAGAACATGCCTTAACGCCGCCGCAGTGAAGCTGCTGCTGAGCTAGCAAGAGAGGGTCTACTCCACCGAACGAGCTATTATCATTTTATTTGTATATAGGATAAACTCAGTGTGTTATGATCTATTTTAGTTTTAGTTTGGAAATTTTGAATGTAAATAAACTTATTTCAGTAAGCCTATCCTTGGTCACATTTTTTCTTAATGGTCTTCAACAATGAGTAAAATATCGAGTGAATCGTGTTCCTGTTCAGTTTGCTGTGTATAACGACCGTAAGGGGCCGACCATTTAACTTTTTAGGTGGGGGCGGGGGGGGGAGGGTGATTTGGAAAAAAAGTTCCTGCAAGCGCTTACAATACAATACAATACCCTTTACTTAACGTGGTCAATGTTCTTAGCTAATTAGCTACTTTACAGACATGCCACGAAATATAAATAAATAAACTAGAAATAATAATAGAAAGAGAACATTTCTCATAAAAACGTATATAAAAATATTTATACCGTAAATCCTCTATTAAGCCTCCCGGGGGGCTTATTATTTTCAAGCACTTTTGAGAGGGGGCTTATTTAATTTAGCGAAACGCATCACCTGTAGCAAAAATACCGTGGTATTAGACAGAGTAGACTTACACGTTGTACAATTAAGGTCACTATCAAAAGTATTTTATTCACTTGTTCACACTAAAAGTAACAAAAACAAAATTCTTATTCTTCAAATATGTGCTTTCGACCTCATGTTCTTCGGTAACTTTTATGAGAATGGTTACTTGTACTGATTTGTCATACATAACTTACAAACAAAAATCTCTGGAAAACTCCTCTTATATTTACATTTTTAAATGGTGACAATTCTCCACAGAGAACTAGAGCGCAATGTTGAGAAAGTTAAGTACATGATGTTGGAGGTCATGCGGCCGAAGACCAAAAACAATATCAACTTCCAACCTGAATAAACCATAACTGATCAGTCCACTTTAATCGTTAATTTTTTTGTGAAGAATAAGGCCTGGGGGGGGGGGGGCTTATTAACTTTCCTCCTCTGAAAAGGGGGGGGGGGGCTTAATAGAGGATTTACGGTATATATGCAGTTAAAAATTATTAAAACTGAGAGTAGATCACGAGATTATTACATGATGATATTAAAACTAAGCAAAATGTATTTACGTGTATTTGCGCGATTAAAATGTAAAATTTGAGAAATCCAACTTAGACATTAAGTTCTTAAATGTTCCGATATTAATACCGGCACGAAACTGATCCGGAAGAGCGTTCCAAATCTTAGCTACAGTATATCGCCACGATTTAAGTCCATAGGTGGTTGTATTTACTTTGGGTAGCTCGAGAATGTGTTTTCCTCTAAGATTATAATTAGTTGATCGTTCATGCAATAGCTCTCCCATTCCGCTAGGGACTTTGTACCCATGGATAGCTTTGTAAACACCGGTGGCCATTTTAACAATTCTTTGATTAAGTGGGAACTTGTCGGAAGAAAGAAATTGTATGCAGCACAAATGGAATTAAAAAATTCTTGCACTGTAAGAAAGAAAAACAAAGCTATTTCATCATTCAGCGAGCTTTACAAAATCCCAGCGAAACTGTGACCATTATTCCCTTGCTCCCTTATAAACTGTGGATTTGGTGATGCTGCAAAATTATTGCTTCATATAAGCAATGTATTGCAATCGACATATCAAGAAGTCAGATCGTTTCCGGGTAGCCTGTGGTTAAGAAAGTCGGACTTCCTGATTTTCCTTCCAGTTTCTTTTCGGTCAAAAAAACAAAATGGCTACCTAGTATAAAATGCATGCTCTGACTAAGTTTTGGTACAAGAATCATTTTCTATAGCTTACTAAATTTTAAGGCTTTGCAGCTCCATATCAGGACTATTACTGTAAATGCGAATACATTTTTGCAAAAACTTGGACTGACCATTTTTGAGGACAAAAAAAGCTGCAGAGAAATGAGAAGGGAAAAAATATCTTGCCCAGCAGTTTTCTAGAAAAAATTCTTGCTGACCAGAAATCACCCCCTTCAAAAGTTAAATGGTTGGCCCCTAAATGGGATTTCATTCACTACGTTTGTTAACCTCAGCTAATCACCAAACTTAGAAGTCATTCTGATCGACGTTGCGTTAAATATTCCTGCCTTGGGAACAAGTTTTCCCCGCAAAAGTTCATGTATATTTGTCGGTGTATTTCCCTGGAGTTGATTTCTTGGGGACCGAACTCAAGTTTAGATAGAGAAAACAAAATTCGTCGTCGTTTGTCGCTTGTCGCTTGTTTACGTCCTCCTAAAACGTGAAATTAGGTATTTTTCATAGTCGTGAAGTGACGGCAAAGAAATGTACAAGAAAAGCGTGATGCACGTACAGAATTGTTGTTTTGCTTTATCTAAACCTATTGCTTTTACGAAGGTCCAACCTCGTCCCCAGGGCTTTTCCCTTAAAAAATGGGTGGGGCGCCCCACCCATTTTTTAGGGGAAAAGCCCTGGGGACGAGGTTGACGAAGGTCTCGTTGCCGTCGCCGTCGTCGTTGCTAAAGCTCCCTTTTAAGATTCACGTTTACGCCAAACGGCAAATGTCAGATTCAAGTTGAGAATTATAAGCAGATAAAAACTGTCCAGAGCAATTCTTATGTATAAAACTGGTGTGAAACTACTTATTTTTTAGTTGAAGTAATAAACAGTTAACGACAATTAAAGGAAAAACTTGGTCACGGGGTACAAATTCACGTTTGCCGTTTGGCGTAAACGTGAATCTTAATCTCACTATTAGGAACCAACGGCGACGTCCATCTCGTTGAAAACAGCGACGTCCATTATACCAGAAAACAGAAAAATCTATAAACCGTCCCCGAGTTCGGACAGATGTATTTATAGCCTTGTTGTTCCCCCCCCCTGACCCTCCCCCCAGGGTGTCATCCACTCAGGGACAAAAAAATAAGCCGTCCAACAAACGAGACAATATGATTTTTAGGGCTGTCCACCAAGAAAAAAGTTGCCCCACTTAAAATATAACCCCGTGAGTCTCTGATAATCAGATAATCAACTGAACAGCCGCGTGTCGATATTCTTGCTCAACCCGGCATTGAAAAATCATGTGGCTTTCGAACGTGTTAGCGCCGCTATGCAGTATTGTTTCGAGAACGTATGTTGTCCTTGTAACGAACTACTTTTTTTTAAGAGCGTTACAACGAAGCTGCCTCTGCCGCTCGAAGATCAGATAAGGGAAACTATTCATCGACATGTGCGAGCCCTTATTAGCCGTTAATCATAGCGCAACGAGAGTGAGCAAATAAACAGGGCGAAAAGTAGACAACAAAACACCTCAAGAAATAACGAAAAAACTTGTTGGTTAAGAAAAAAAGGATACAGCTGCTGCTTAGTCAGGTCTCTTAGCGTCAGGATCGTTACAGAGTTGACAAAAGCACCAAACTTTGCACAGCGATAGCTTATTGCAGTACCATGAATATTAGAGGGGGTGCCCACTGCCAATGTGCCACTGAAGCGTGCTAAACAGGATTTAATTATTGTAAATTTCATCTGCTGGGATCCCTGTGGTGTTTTGATTGAAAATTGTTATTTAATACCTTAAATCACTCTGAATTCTATTCTCATGTTGTAAACAACAATTTCACTCGAACATCTGGCATTCCCATCCATTTTTGCTTATTGATTGTATAATTAAGTTGATTATTACTGTGCCCTTAAAGCAAGTCCACAGTCCGCCCACATTTTCATAAGTCATTTCTAAGATGGCCTCGTCTTTGCTTCATAACTTGCAAGTACTCAGCTTCTGGGGTTCTCTTCCCCTTTTCTAATGTACTTCAGTTAGAGGAGGCCTTATTGTGTGGCTTAAGTCTTATGTATCAAGTATTACTTGTCATTACATGTCACTTTAACCTGAAGAAAGCGTATGGCATAGCGATTCACATACAAAATTTCAGAAAAAAGAAATTGTCAAAGAGTCTGTTGTATCACATGTTATCAGGGATTTATGACAGCTATTCATGGAGAGCAAATAACGAAATGACAGAACCCAAAACAGTTCTTTCCAAGGGAGGTAATTAATTTTTCAGCTTAACATAGGCCTGGATGCCTTTCAGTCTCTCTTTATCCAGTTATCTGCTGGACGCAAGTGCATGTTTCGACAGAGAAGCAAGCACCGTGGCACAAGTCATATCATTGACAATTCCCGCAGTTTGTCTAAGCTTTACAAAGCAAAACAAACAAAAAGAATCTGGTCTCATAAACGAAAAAAAGAAACAAGTTAGCCCAAGCTTCAAAAAACAGCACAGTTTATCATTGGCACTGAAGCACTCATGTCCAAAAATAATAAGAGCTTATCAAGTCGTAAAAGTGAGACTCAAGTGGTACAAGATTGACTCAAATGATAAATGGTGAATAGTTTAACTGCTGAAACTGTAGAAAGGGGGCCGGGCTAACTTTTAGGTAAGAATGGTAACCCACTTAGGTGGTGTAACCCGCCTGTCCATATAATCTCTTATTTTAATTTGATCACGTTTACATGATAGGTGGGGTCACCCTTCAAGGTGGGTAGCCCGGTCTCACTCTGCCACTCCAGGTAACCCTCTCAGCTGAGGTCAAATTTTGCCATGTCAGCGTTTCAAGGTGAGGTAACCCAGGCTAGTCGGGGTTGGATTCGTGATACATCAAATTCGCGCAAAATTCACTTTGGCGCCGGGTGGCTTCACATAATTATTAAAGGTAACAATAGAAAACCACAACAGTGAAGGTTGCAGCAAGAGCAGCAATTGAGCGTAGACCTGGTTTGCCAGCATTTTTCTTGTTTACGTGCTTAGCGACCATTCAATAATCTTGAGAAACTGCACCCCAGGATGGCGGGGTTGTAAGATTGCATGTAAAGGAGGGTTATTTTTTTACCCCACCTAAGCAGGTTACCTCACCTACCTGGGGTCCCCCACCTTTATGTTAACAGACCCTAAGTCTCAGGAACCGTGAAACTGGTAATAAACGGTATACCTAACCCGGGACTAGCTGTGATACTACCTGCCATCTTCAAGAACGTCAGCATAGCAGCCAAAGAAGCCATTATATTAAAAACGAATATTAGATTGCGGTGGTTTCATGCGTCTCGTTTTGTGACTTTTTTGTGTTCGTTTTTGTCACCATCTCTAAATATCAATCAAATTGTTCAAAACACCCCTACTAACAAAATATTTCGTAAAGCTCTTTAGAATGATATTCAGCAATAAAAACAAGGTGTGACCAGGAGCCGATTTCTAGGCATAAGTGAATGCAAAGTTTTGCAGTATGCAATCTGTCAGAAATCTGTTTGAGTGGTCTAAGTTGGGGCTGATGGGCTTCTTTATCATGACCACTCCATTATTATAAGGGACCAGGCCATAATTATTGTTGACCCTTGCTTTTTTTGGTATTTTATGTAATTTTCAACAGCATTATTTTGTGAAAAGTTGGTAACTGAATTGCTCTCGAGGAATTCATGATCGTAAGATTTCGTAACCACGGGGTATTCGTCTAATTGCATCGAACAAATTACATTCATTTTCATAAATGATGCGTCATTGGTTGACTAAAAGAGGCCTTGTTCCTCTAAATTTCAGCTCTTCTGAAGTTAGTTTGTTTGTAAATTGTAGCACACGCGACGACCTTCTTTTTTTTGAAAGATCATATAGACAGACTTACCATTAACACTCTGGTCCAAGGGCTCTGAAGTGAATGAGCCGCTTACAGGTGTCTAGGCATGCAGGGACCTCATTCACTTCTTTTTAAATGCAAAATTATGTGCAAAAGATAAAGAGTGTTAAAAATCCCTGGAGAGGCATGTTTTACAACCTCGTCCCCAGGGCTTTAAAAAAAGGTAGACAAAGGTAAAGCGACCATATTTTACGTCAATAACTCGTGACAGTAATAATAACTGATAAACTTGAGGTCGACGGTGCGCTCCTTTTACCCCCCTCTCTCCATTAATTCTCCGTTTTAAGGGTATTTAAAGATAGTCAAAGCTCCACAGAAAAAAGAAAAGTTGAAATAAAGATGTGTTGACACCGGGGATCGAAGTCGGGACCTTGCGCAGCGAAGGCTGCGCACTAACCAAGTGTGCCACCCTTGCTCCCTCTTTTCCCCCTGAGGACGAGGTTGACATGTTTTAATCATTATCTCAAGGACAGGGTTACCAACGAAGCAAATTATAATCTACTCTTAGCTGCACAATTACAAAGTGGGCGCGTTGTCAGTTACGGTTGATGAGGTCGTTCATGTGGCATGTCAAACTTTAACGATTCTATCGTTTAGGATGTGATACATTTCAGTTTTATGCTATTGTATGACATCTTTGAAAGCTTGCTTTGTGATCTGTTTAAATTGATATGTAATGATATTATAACTGGCAAGTCTTAGCAGTGACAATGATAGCCGCACAGTCCGCACAGTGAACATGGCCACACTTACCGTGTGGAGACTGGGCACTAGTCAGTATTATGTACATGTAAAAACTATTTTGAATAGTGTAACAACAACTAAACATTACCAAATTAAAAACTTAAAAATTTGAAACGAATGTTTTTTAGCCAAATCAAACAAGAAGAGTACTCACCACAGGGCACCCAATCTGCTATTATAGGTGAAAGTTAACCCCCCTCCCCCTTTTATCTGTAATTAGGACCATTTGTAACGGGCACCCCCTCCAGTATTAATCGGTAGGTGCTAAGGAAGCTCTGTGCCAAATTTGACACTTTTGTCACGTCTGTAACGATCCGGCCTATATTTTGCACTAAGAGCCCTGACTATAATGCGAGGCCTGTTTTAGATGTAAATACGGTTAAGCACACATTCGTCTCCTAGTCTCTAATTTAAGTACTAGCACACAGACATAAGAAACAAACAATAAAAAACTGAAAAAAACTTGTAGGTGGAATTGAACGTCCGTAAAACAATTATTTTTGTACGCGTTTCAAAGCACCTGACATCGCCCTGGAAAATCTTAAGCCTTTTTCTTGCTCTTAAATGTTTGAAATCAATTCCACCTACAAGCACCCTGATACGTGTGCGGCCCTAAAAAACATAATTTCTCGTTTCTTTTTCTTTACTAAAAGATTGGGGGGACGGTATATTTTGTGATTGGGAGGGGGGAGGGGGTAAAATAGTAGTCGGGAAATGCCAGTTCTGGCGCATTTTTTATTTTTAAGTTCATTTCAGCCATTGAATTCAGTGTCGATTCTGGCGCATTTTCTGTGACAATTGAAAAATTCATGGGGTGGGTGTGGGAACGTCGAATTTGATGCTTCTCTTGACAAAAGGCTTCTTTACACCCTTACATTTCTTTTCTTCCTTTCCCTCAAAAACCTTGTAAGAGTACAACTTTGCTCTTAATCCTACGAGCTCTTTGATGATCTCCCACCTGCTCATCCTTAAACATACCAACAACCTTAACTTCTTGTTGTGGCCAGCTTCTATTCTATACCTGAGGGATGATCCTTAGGGTAGTTGCTCGTATCAAACTGCATCAGCTGACATCTCTTTGTAAAATCCCTTTGATCTCATAGGCTAGGCTGTCTGTATCTGTGAACAATAGCTTTGCCCTATCTTCATACTTTGTCTTGATGTAGTTATAACGAAAGTTATCAATTAAAGTCTTGCTCAAATCAAGAATACACATTCCCAAGTTCACAGGCTTGTTAAATACTAGCTTTTTTCATGTTTATGGCTACTGCAAAATTTGGTTTTGCAGCTTGTTTCTTTCCCTTTGCTTCGCTGTTGACTAATCTGATATCAACGATGCTCCTGATGTTTTCCTTCGTCTCACAGAAGACGGAATTGTTCATCAACTTGTCAATGAAAAAGTCCTTTTCAAACTCATTATTTGCCTTTGCCCTGAGATTTGTGATAAGGTCAATATACTGTTTGAGCCATGCAGTTTCCCCAAACTTGATTCCCCTATGAATCTTTGTGATCCTCAATCCAAGACTTTCATACGTCTTGAGGTTTTCATAGTGTATTACATACTTTGTTTTGTTATTGAGAATGAGTTTCTCAACTTTGGAGACCGTAATTCTCTCTGGTGCTAACAGATAAACATTATGCAATTCATGAAGATCTTTTAGATATCCCACACTTACCTCTAAGATACATGGGTTTTTCTTCCAATCAGTAACCTCCCGTTCAGACATCCATTTAAATCCATCTGTTGTGATGGGTTTACTCATAGCCCATCCATAAAGGTTATTAGCATCTAGGTATGTGATATATTTTGTTGCTTCCTTATCGTTGTATTTCTTTCCCATGTATGGGTTATTTGCTTTCCCATGACTGTTTGAAATCGTCGAGATCCCTCCCCTAATTCCTTTTTCGATCATGAGTAGCATATCTGGGTCAGACAATAATTCCAACCTTACTTTTGTAATTTTCAAGGCAGCGTCCCAAGCCAACCCTGTATGGTGCTGTGTAATACCAAGCTGGATCAGGGTTATAATTATTACTACAGACATCTCTAAAATTCTCTAACACATCACTTCAGAGACATCATACAAGTCATGATAATCTCTAAGAGTCATTCCAAACTCTTTCCAGACACGCTCAGCGTGTTTGTAATCTTCGTTTGATATGTCTTCGCCACTAAGTTTGGAGTGAAATGCCTCTTTTGGTGGGAGTTGGGCCTCATCTAGTCTTTTGAGGGAATTCATATGGTCGTAGAGGTATACACGTTTCCTCAACAGTAGACTCTATAGTACTTGCTTGTGTTTACACAACATCCCTTATCGAGGTTGCTCACTAATTTATCAAAGCTAGCTAAGAAGAGATTTATTCAAAATTGAAAAGAATTGCTTCTGTAAAGTGAAAGAAATCGGCAGAAAAACAGACCAGAGGATTAGGGGCCAAGAAAACGTTTTACTCTCTCGGCAAAATTGTCAGAATATATCAGGTGAGAAGACACACCGATGTAATGTAAATTTAAAACAATATTAAGCCCTAGAAAACGGAGTATATTTCAAGAACATAACAAATTTTGACAAGAAGCAAGTAATATTAGTCATCACAGCTTTAACAGAAGGAAGAAAAATCAAGTTGGACATACAGCGGCTGTAGTTTGTCAATGAATCCAAGCAGTGAATAGATTTTGTTCAGCGCATCAATAGAACTTGATGCTGGAAAGAGGAGTCAAATTGCGCTCCTGCCGTCCTTTTTCTTAGTAACGGATATGAAAATTTTTCTTTAACTTCCGGTAAATCAGTCAACTTTTGAGTAGATTTTCTCTTAAATGCGAAGGTATATTCAAAAAAGAACACCAGATATGCATATTACATCATCTGAACTTACTGTAGAAAGATTTTGAGGGCAAAATAAAATGTTGAAAATTTGCCTGTGCAAATACCTTAAACCTCTGCGTTAGTGGGTGGCGTTTTCCATGCGAGTTCGCGCACTTTAATAGCTCTGCAAAAAGAAAGACTCCAACGATTGCATTGTTCGTTTATGACACCTTTTATGACACACTTTACAACGCAATAAGAGTTTTTTCCTTCCATTCTTGTTGGTTGGACCAGAAATTCATAATTCAACGCACTCATTCTTGTTTTACGACATTTTAAATTGTGTTTACAACATTTTTTTTTAAATCAGTGTTTTCAAGTAACGTGTTCTGTTCGTGGTATGGGTTTCCGGGGTGTTATAAATGTAATTCTTCGAAAAAAAATTGGGACGATCCATAGTATGGGGCGCCGTTTGTAAAAAAAACGATTTAGCTTAATTTTGTCACTTTTTTCGTTATTTATTAAATAAAGTTTTCTGATATGATATCATACGTCAATGATTTGATATAATAAATGTTGATTTCAAATCATGCGTTTATGATTTGATATAATAAATTATTATTTAAAATCATGCGTTTATGATTTGATATAATAAATTCTGATTTCAAATCATGCCTTTATGATTTGATATAATAAATATTGATTTCAAATCATAAGTTTATGATTTGATATAATAAATCCTGATTTCAAATCATTCGTTTATGATTTGATATAATAAATCCTGATTTCAAATCATAAGTTTATGATTTCATATAATAAGTTCTGATTTTAAATCATCAGTTTATGATTTGATATAATAAATCCTGATTTCAAATCATAAGTATATGATTTCATATAATAAAAATCATTATTTGATATCAGTAAAACCATGATTTAATTTAGTAAGTAATAAGTAACCGCGGACTTGGCACGTGGGTTACTAGCGCGGGAATAATCGCAAAGATGGCGACACAACCAGATCAGCTATCGAGGTCAATTTGATGTATAAGTCGAACAAATAAAGAAATAACTTTTAAAAAAACAGGGCGATTTCAATTTACGAACTTTCTAGAACGGAGTATAAAAAATCGGCCCATTTCTAGAACGGGGTATCAGTTTTAAGGCGAATTCTAGAACGGGATATAAAAAAATTGGCCCATATTTAGAACGGGGTATCAATTTTAGGGGATATTTTTTTTAGAACGGGGTGCCTATTTGGAGTCCCGGGCGGCACATACCCCTCCCCCCCCCCCCCCCGAGGATGTATCACTGCTAAAGCATCCCAGTCGCTGCTGGGGTGATGACCTGTGTGTCGATGTGATTAACAAAAAAAGTATTATTGATGTCTTCCAAGCGCCTCATCTATTTCTTACATGTTGCACTGCATCATTAGTTAAGGGGATTGCGTGTTAATCGGAAAGCTATGACTATATTTACGAGGGAAAGAGGACTTTTGGACCTTTCGCTTGTCTGGCGCATTGCGTGACACGCGCGGCTTAGTTTTAGATGTGTTTGCTTCCTTTGTTATGTCCTTTTAGTAGCCATACTAAAATAACATACAGCTAATGATTGTTTCTATTTCACAAAGTGAGGCGACAAGACATTTCGTCAGAGAACAAGAGATCGAGACAAACAAAGGGCTATTTACACCTCAACACCGGGAGGAGAAATTATTAGTTAGTGACATCGGTCCAAGCGTCCTTGGCGAACAAAAATCATTGTACAGGCGTAACACTGAGACTCTGGTTTGGCGACAAATCGCAGTAGCATATATGTGTTCGGAAGGGATGCCAAAGCTTGGTCAACCGCCCTTTCTACGGCTCTAGAGACCGCAGAAGCGATTGACCTCGATAGCTGATCTGGTTGTGTCGCCATCTTTGCGATTATTCCCGCGCTAGTAACCCACGTGTCAAGTCACGCGGTTACTTATTACTTATTAAGTTAAATCATGGTTTTACTGATATCAAATAATGATTTTTATTATATGAAATCATATACTTATGATTTGAAATCAGGGTTTATTATATCAAATCATAAACTTATGATTTGAAATCAGAACTTATTATATGAAATCATAAACTTATGATTTGAAATCAGGACTTATTATATCAAATCATAAACTTATGATTTGAAATCAATATTTATTATATCAAATCATAAAGGTATGATTTGAAAAAATAATTTATTATAGCAAATCATAAAGGCATGATTTGAAATCAGAATTTATTATATCAAATCATAAATGCATGATTTTAAATAATAATTTATTATAGCAAATCTATGGGGCGCCGTTTGTAAAAATATTATTTAGAACAAATCCATGCCTTTTTTTCATTATTTGTAAATAATGGTCAGCCGTCGAAAATTTATTTATAAATAAGGAACAGCTACTTACTTAATGATATGTAAATCATTATTTCTTATCAAACCTGATATCTATATAATAGCAATCTGTAAAGAAATTATATATAAATATTCGTCAAACAAGTTTCTTTATTTATAAATCAGGCAGACAACTACAATCCATTATTTATAAATAATGAACTAAACCTGCAGAGTAAACTCATTATTTGTAAATATTGAAGTCCACCTTTATGCTGGCAAATCCATTATTTATAAATAATGAAGTTAAACTGGATTGTGAATTCAGTATTTATAAATCACGAAGTTTCATCTCGCCGAGTGTAAATCCATTATTTGTAAATAATGAAGTTAACCTCTGTGGTGGCAAATCCATTATTTACAAATAATGAGGTTAACCTTCATGCTGGCAAATCCCTTTTTTTATATATATAGAAATAATGAACTTCCCCTTTTTGTGTAATTTCATTATTTATAAATAATGAAGTTTGATCTCGCCGAGTGTAAATTTATTATTTGTAAAAAATGGATTTTGTTTCGCGTCGCTGGTCAATTAATTTATGACTCACCAGCGCGCCAAAACTGTAATTTATTCCATGGAAATGGCGGGAATTCTTCGCCCTCCGAGTCGAGACCCGTGATGGCTGATCAAGACCTTACGCGCTCCCTCTCCGAGGCCGTTTCTCGAGCAGTCAGCGAGACAGTGAGTGCTGTTCTTGCCCGGGTAAGCATCTAGCTTGAACTTCAGTCTTTTGAGATTGCTCTGAATGCGCGGGTTACGTCTAATTAATTTTATGCCGTTTTGTCAGAATTCCCCAGCAAACCAACATGTCCCGGCACATGTGACGGATAATTCAACGCCGACATCAACGATTCAACACGTAAGTTCTGTTGCAACAAATCTTTGTAAGGAAGGGGATACAGATCATTTAACAATGGAAAATCATCACCATGTAAATTCTTGCGATAGACTATTCATTGTTGTTTAAAGGTCACCTCTGCTATTAACCTGGCCTGCCGTCCGATGAATTCGCCCTAAAACTGAGACCCCGTTCTAGAAATGGGCCAATTTTTTATACTCCGTTCTAGAAAGTTTGTAAATTGAAATGGCCCTGTTTTTTTAAAAAAGATATTTCTTTATTTGTTCGACTTATACATCAAATAAATGCTTCTTCATAATCAGCAACAATTTTATGCAGAAGATAAAGCCGTGATCCACAATTTTTTATACCCCGTTCTAGAAAACGCCTCTGAAATGGATACCCCGTTGTAAATCAGGAGCTTCAAAATCACGACCCCGTTGGGCGGCACATACCTGTATAGGTAATGTATGGGAGTACCCCCCCCCCCCCGGGCATTTAAGCAACAATGTCTATTGCAAGAATTTACATGGTGATGATTTTCCATTCTTAAATGATCTCTATTCCCTTCCTTACAAAGATTTCTTGCGACAGAACTTACCTGTTGAATCGTTGATGTCGGCGTTGAAGCCGTCGGCTGCACATGTGCCGGGACATGTTGGTCGTGTTGGTTTACTGGGGAATTCTGAGAAAACGGCATAAAATTAGTAAGACTCCAGAACCCGCCCATTCAAAGCAATGTCAAAAGACTGAAGTTCAAGCTAGATGCTTACCCGGGCAAGAACAGCACTCACTGTCTCGCTGACTGCTCGAGAAACGGCCTCGGAGAGGGAGCGCGTAAGGTCTTGATCAGCCATCACGGGACTCGACTCGGAAGGCTAAGAATTCCCGCCATTTCCATGGAATAAATTACAGTTTTGGCGCGCTGGTGAGTCATAAATTAATTGACCAACGACGCGAAACAAAATCCATTTTTTACAA